GAGTAAAAATTAACAAACATTTTGTTATTTAATCTGACTCAACAAAAATAATAGAAATTATACTTTCTCTGTGCCTGTTCTTCATTTCTAAATGTCAGAATTCCAAATCAAACTATGTATTTAATTTCAAACCAAATATGATATTTACCAACAAAATAATTAAGTAGTAAACTAAAAACTATAAACTAAGCATATATATGTATAATTTCAGAACCACATGAATGAGACGTTTCCAGAAAATAAGCAACAGAAACGTCTCAAGTTAAAAGATTAGGACTGTGACATCACCATGACATAACTGTGACATCACTGTGACATCACTGTGATACCTTCTGGAATCAGGAAGTTTATTGTTTTTATCAAATACTCTGTAAAATTCCCCTAAGGTGGAAATAATTCTTGTCTTTGATCAGAAATCAGATGGCAAACAAAGGGCCTAGTGGTCAGGGCTTGGTTTAGGGTTAGGGTCTAGTGGTCAGGCGTGGGTTTAGGGTTTGGGTCTAGTGGTCAGGGCTTGGTTTAGGGTTAGGGTCTAGTGGTCAGGCGTGGGTTTAGGGTTTGGGCCTAGTGGTCAGGCGTGGGTTTAGGGTTAGGGTCTAGTGGTCAGGGCTTGGTTTAGGGTTTGGGTCTAGTGGTCAGGGCTTGGTTTAGGGTTAGGGTCTAGTGGTCAGGGGTGGGTTTAGGTTTGGGTCTAGTGGTCAGGGCTTGGTTTAGGGTTAGGGTCTAGTGGTCAGGCGTGGGTTTAGGGTTTGGGTCTAGTGGTCAGGGGTGGGTTTAGGGTTTGGGTCTAGTGGTCAGGGCTTGGTTTAGGGTTAGGGTCTAGTGGTCAGGGGTGGGTTTAGGGTTTGGGTCTAGTGGTCAGGGGTGGGTTTAGGGTTTGGGTCTAGTGGTCAGGGGTGGGTTTAGGGTTTGGGTCTGATGGTCGGGTGGGTTTAGGTAAAATTAATGGAAGTCTATGTAGAATCCCCAGAAAAAACAAAAATATACTGTGTGTGCTCAGTGTTTTTCTGCTGCTGTGACTGTGAGGACCAGCAGGCACAGTGTAAAGCTTCTGGTTCTGACCCAGTCGGCAGGATGTCCCATGTCCCTCCGGTCCAGGTTTAGAGTGTCTCTGTCTCTCTGCAGATGTCTCATTCTTAATGTGCGTACAGAGCAACAATCAGCCCCATCTGTCCCAGTTTACCCCCGTGGCCCCCCAGTAAATCTTCCAGTTAGACCCCCCAACCCCCGCTCCTGTCAGCGGGTGGGGCCTGAAAGCCAATCAAAAAGCTATAGAAGAGTCCTTTGCTGCAGGGACACAATCAGGGCCCGGGGCCCCTTCACCCCCGTTACTCCCCCCTCAGTGGCTGCTGGGTCCTGACGGCCGGTGAGACGGGGACAGATGGGAGGAATAATCAGCGCTGTGTTATCCCAGAGTCCTGTTAGGCTGAAGACATCCTGTCCCTACAGATGTCTCACTCTGAGGACACCATGAAGACACCAAGGAGACATGTCCAACTGCTCATCACACAGCTAAGCTCACTACTTTTCATGAGAACCCGGTCTGGATTTGACTAGGCCACTCCAGGACATCAGTCCTCCATCAATCTTTTAGCTGCCAGGTTTATGAATAATTCTGGACTGAGTTGTGAGGAGAACCACAAGCTTCCCAGTTCAAACTGGTTTCTGTTCCCTGTCCTGCTGGAGTTCTCACAGATGAGATGAGTGATCTGGAAGACAGGTGGACCAGAACCCTGGTCTAAGCCCCACAACGTGCAGGAGTTTAGAAACTCAGGACTGAGGAGCTTTAACCCTCCCATCGGACTGGACCGGATCTGGTCCAGACCCAAAGGATCCGGACCGGGGAGACCCACTGAATCTAATGGATCCAGTCCCTGCTGGTCGGGCCGGGCCAGAGCACAGAGGAAGATTAGAGGAAGGAAAACCTCTGGATGTTTAGGTCAAAGGTCATATCCAGCCAGAGCTCCAGGTCAGAGTTTAAAGGTTGATTAAATCAGATTGATGAAAACATGGCGGTTCATGACGCTGAACCTCAGCAGGATCCTCCTGAGGTCAGATCAGCTGGACTCTGGCCATTAAGGGGCTCAAGACTTTTGCACAGGACACTTGTCATTTTTGTATTTGTAAAAAGTTTTAAATAACATAAAATTAACATTTTTACATTTTTCAGTTGTTTTCCTCTGTTTATAATGTTAGTGTCTCAAGGCCCAGCTTTTATTTTGATAGTCCACTTCCCATTATCATCAATTGGACTGGCATATTAGCAAATAACTAATTATAGTTAGTTATTCTGGATCAGAAGCACAGAACCCTGAACCGGGCCAGAACCAGAACCTTTGGACCTGGAGCGAGCCGAGACGCAGAAGCTTCAGTTTCAGTCTGACGCCTCGGGACGTTTCAGGTTCACTGGACCGAGTCCCACCAACAGAAAGCTGTGGTGTGTGTGTGTGTGTGTGTGTGTGTGTGGGGGGGGGGGTGTATGTGTGTGTGTGTGTGGGTGTGTGTGTGTGTGTGTGTGTGTGTGCGCGTGCAGATGCAGTTTCATTCATTCTGGCAGTGAGAATGAACTTAATCCTCTAAGCTCTTGTTGGGTCTCGTCCTCCTGCTTTTCAATGAGGAAAAAGCTCAGAGTGACTTACAGAATAAAACTCCGGTGTGCGGCAGGATGCTCACTGGAAACTGCAGCTGGAACATTAAGCATCTGGCTTTGACTAGACCACCAGTCTCCGGCTGTGTTTCATTTCTCTGGATGGATCGTTTGGCTTGATAAACTTCATTTTACTCTAAATAGATTTCCTGCATCATATTTTCACCTGAAATTTGGAACAATTGATGAGGATCAGCAGGAAATCTGAGGGGAGAACAAGACGAGGCCCACCAACTGATTACTGTGTGTGTGTGTGTGTGTGTGTGTGTGTTTGTGTGTGTGTGTGTGTGTGTGTGTGTGTGTGTGTTTGGCCAACGGCTGTTTCTCTGTTTCTAGCCGGTTGAGGCGTTTTGGGGTCAGCCCGTATCAGGAGGAACTGGTTCCAGTCCATTCAGTTTTCCTCTTCGCCTCATCGTCTCTCTTGCTTGTTTTTCCGCTCCAGTGAGCCGCACTGGACGGACTCTGTCCTCCATGTTGGCTCTTTGTTACCTGGGCAGGTGACTCCTCCGGATGGTTGGCTTGTTTCACTCAGGTTGTTGTTTTTGTTATTCTGAGTCAATCTGTTTGGATTCAGGTTGATTCTCTACCTGAGGAGTTCGTCATGTGTTTAAGACACGGGGCTCTGCTGCCCCCTCCTGGCCGGCTGCGGAACCACAGAATCTCCTGCAAACTACTCTGAGCTTTATGAATGACACCGCTGCTGTGCAGCTCATATTATGGGATGGCACAGAGTACAGTAGATTATTTAATTTTTATTTAATTTCAGAAATAAGTGTATGAGTTTGTAGTTGTAGCTAATTGTAGTTGTGGTGGGACTGGATGAAAAGTTTCAATCGAGTTACTTTCATGGTTTCTACTTAATCACACTTTTAATCTAAAATTAAAGATTTCCAAAATAATCACCATTTTCAACACAAAACCATTTTTGCTGTAAATTATTTAATAAATACATGACCGCAACAACAAGAATGTTTATTGTCTTTATCTGATTTTTGAGGTTCACCTATGAATCTCTGCATCTCTGTGATAAGGGAATTGATTCTATTTATCATTTATTTTCTGATGCATCTGCTGTTTTTATACTTCTACAAAATGTGATTTCCTGTTAAAGAAGTGTCCAGATGATGTCCAGATGCTTTCTCAGCTGTCTGTAAAGATGGATGACATCATGTGTAAATGTCAAACATAGGTTTCTTAAACAGTTACCATATATGGAATGCATTTTCCTGTACTTTATTATTATTATTATTATTATTATTATTATTATTATTATTATTATTTAACCAGTTAACCCCGTTCAGATCTGGATCTCATTTTCAAGAGAGACCTGGGCAGAAGTCTGCAACGTGGTTACAAAGTAAAGCCAATTAATACATATTAACAAGTATAAAACAATAGAAAACAATTTAAAAGCAGTGACACTGTTTCATAGAATCGTATTTCCTGTTTTTTGGAAATAAATCCAATGAAGTGAATTGTGACATCTTGTGTTCAGACTCCAGCTGGTTGCAGTAGGAGCATCACACTGAACGCCTGCTTCCCCTTTTCAGTTCGAACACGTGGGAACATGGAAAAGACAAATGTTATTAGAGCATAAAGAATGGGAAATAACAGATCTATGTAGCTTCAGGATGCTGGAGCCAAGCCGAGTACAGATTATGGAGAAACAATCACCTGATGATCCTGATTTCTAAATCTCTACTCGGCTTGGCTCCAGCATCCTGTAGCTACAGAGATCTGTTATTTCCCTTCTTTATGCTCTAATAACATTTGTCTTTTGCGCTTGTCACTGGTGACGCATATTTTATGTTGAAACGGCCTGCCATAGAACCACGTGACTCAGCCTTAACTCCAGCTCTGACGTCGCTTCTGGAAGCGGGACTTTTCCTGCTCTTATTTTGAAGTGAAGAGCGGAAGTTGGGTGTGTTTGGGTCGGAGCGGAGCGGGAGCGGCGGGACACGAGCCGCTGAGCGAGGGGCGCGAGACACAAACACCAACAGGTAAACAACAACAGCAGGAGCCAATCAGAGCCGCCGGGTGCGCCGAGGCCCCGCCCACTCAGGTAAGACCGCCGCAGAACCGAACCTGTTGGTTCCGGGTTCTGGTCTCTTCCTTCTGACCCGATCAGAACCTCCGTCTGGTTCCGCCCAGTAAGGCCCAAACGGTTCTGTTCAGGTTCTGCTGGTTCTGCTGTTCTTCATTCAGCAGAACCTGATGTTCTGGTTCCAACCGAACCCGGGCATGAAGTTCTGGAAGCTCTACAGAACCAGAACCGGGTCGAACAGCTGCTGTATCATCAGTCTGGACAGAACCAGGCCAGCACTAGCCCGGTTCTGGTTCCGTCTGACCCAGTTCTTCTCCTTGCAGGATGGACGGAGGAAGTCCCGCCTCCGACTCACTTCTTGTTCCCACCGACCCGGTCCAGTTGGGTCCAGATTCTCAGAACCAGATTCAGAGCAGACCCAGCTGCCTGTCCGGGTCAACAGAACCTCCTTCAAGTCCACAATCAACCGGACCAGAACCACCTGGTTCTGAGCAGGCAGAACCAGGAGGTTCTGCAGGACCAGAACCAGCACCAGAAACAAGTTCCCACCAGGTTCTCCAGAACCCAGAAGGCTCTACAGATCAGGCTGTGGAGGAACCCGGTTCTGATCCATCTGAGGTTCTGACTGCCGGACCAGAGGAACCTGGAGTCCATCAGAACCTCCAGTGTCCAGAAGAACGCCATCAGAACCCTGGTGAGTTTCTGTCAGCAGAGGAAGGCGGTTCTACTGCATCCTGTTTGGGTCGACCCAGCCATATGGAGAACCAGGAGGCCACGCCCCCCAGCAGCCAGGTGTGGCCCCGCCCCCCCGGCGCTGCAGGTGAGCCCAGACTGTGCGGCTTCCTGCAGAAGCAGGCGGGGCCCCTGAGGGCCTGGAAGCGGCGCTGGTTCAGCTACGAACAGAACCAGAACCAGCTGTTCTACTTCCGCTCACCGCAGGACGTGGCGCCACTGGGCCGGATCCGACTCAGCAGCGCCACCTTCACCTGTCCGCTGAACGCCGAGAGCGGCACCTTTCACATCCAGACGCCCGAACGCACATTCATCCTCAAGGTAGGAACTCCGGGTCGGTCCGGATCCGGTCCGGTTATATTCAGGTGGATCTAAGTATGGAAAGTTAGCGAGACCAATAGTCATTTGACTACTGGTTCTACTGGGCCGGGTTCCTTCCGGTCAGTGAAGGTTCTGGCAGCTTTCTGGAAAAGAGAGGAAAGGTTTCCGTAACAGTACCGGACCAGGTACTGGTCCAGAAATCCAACTCCAGTCCGTTTTCAGAGAGAGTCCGGTTCAGTTGGTGAGGTGCGAATGCTAATCGACCTCTGACCTCTGGTCCTCCAAACATTCAGTTTGAATGTCAATGCCCAGCAGATCAGAGAACGCTCCAAAAGCAGGAAGTGGACTACAGTGCAGGGCATTCTGGGTAAATACAACCAAAGCTAACATGCTAGCAGAAGGAGAAACCACAGCAGCTGGAGTTTTGGTCCTGTTGACTTTCCGTACCTTCCTGGTTAGCAGAAACCTCTGAGCCATGTCTCCTGACTGGATCAGAACCCGACCCGAACCGACCCGACCCACTCCTGTGTTTCAGGCGGTGAGTCAGGAGCTGATGCTGTACTGGCTGCAGCAGCTGCAGGTGAAGCGCTGGCAGCACCGGGACACGTCTATTGGACCGGACCGGACCAACAACAACCTGACAGGTGAGATCCACTAGAACCAGCTGCTCGGGTTTGATCCCAGGTCTGGTTCTGGTTCTCTAATGTTCTCTGAAGAACCTCTGCGATCAGAACCAGAACATTTGGACTCCTGCCCGATGGATTTTATGTAGCGTATCAGAAACAACAACATGCCACACTTTCCAGATTTTCTGTTAGAAAGAACCAAAAATGTTTTTTTCTGGTCCGGTCAGAACGGGTCGGAACCTGGGAAGTCCGGTGGGTGTGAATACCTTCTCAAGGTTCTACTGGTTAAACTGGTTTATTGATGTTTGAACTGGTTCAGGTAACGGTTCTGCTTTGGGTCGCCTGGTTCTGGTTCTGTTCGTGTTGTTCTTTAGCTGACTGGTTCAGGACCAACTGGCTCCAGAGGAATGACCCAGTTCTGTTGGTAACCTGCTGGAGCCTTTACTGGTTGAACTGGTTCTGATGGGCTGACATCCTGTCCCCCCTCCCCCACCTGTTGGAAAAGCCTTTCTGCAGGAGGGAGTGCCGCCGTCTGACTCACTTCCCTGAATCGGACCGAGCCTCACTGAGTCAGAACCGCCCCGCTCTTCATCAGGGAGTCGCTGTTATCTGAGCCGTTTTGCAGGTCAACAGGAAGTCCGGTTCTTCTGATCCAGGGTCCAAACAGTTCTGACCCACTTCCGGCCCAAAGAGCTCCAGAACTCAGATTACATCATCCTGAGGTCAGGAAGTGACATCACAGCTGCTGCTGCAGGCAACAGAAGGCAGGAGGACAAGACGGTTCTGTCCAGGACCAGAACCAGAAACTGGAATCTGGATCAGAACCAGGACCAGAACTAGAACTGGAACCTGGGAAGTCCAGTGGGTGTGAATACTGGTCCTGGTCCTGCTTCTGGACCTGGTTCCAGCTCTGGTCCTGGTTCTGGTTCCGGGCCAGGTTCTGGTTCCACCCCCCCTGCAGGCTGCACAGCGCCACTGCAGACCCTCCAGTCCAGGAGGGCCGGTTCTGTAACTGGCGGCCCGGTTCTGTGACATCATTGATCAGAGTCTGGACCAGAGCCTTCTCTTGGCCCGAATGGACGTGTAGAACCGAGCTTTCCGGCCCCGTTTCTTTCATCCCACAGATTGATCACCTGCTCAGGTGAAATGATCAGCATGGTGCTGTGCCGCCCCCTGCTGGCCTCTGCTGCTCATCACAGGAAGTGATGTTTACTCTGCGCCTCCTGCTGAGGTTCTGGTTCTGTTTCCTGTCTGAGCAGACGACTTCCTGCCGAGGCAGCGTGGTCCTGTGGGCCTGGTGGGCGAGGCGGCGGCCATCGCTCCGGCCCAGCGCTCCTCGCTCGCCAGCGTCTCCATCAAACACCCGCTCATCCAGATCCAGTGAGTGGACCCGGAAGGTTCTGACTCAGTTGTTGTCTTGCTGCTCAGATGACCCGTCTGGTTCTGGTTCTGGTTCTGAACAGGAACTCGGTCCAGTCTGAGGAAGAGAACGTCTCAGGACTCCAGTCAGACCTCAGTGTTCTACGCCGATGTTCTGCCCTGGACAGGAACCGGGCCGGAGGAAGGCGGCACCCCCACAGGTAGCACCGGGTACTGCAGGTACCCAGTTCCTTCTGGGTTCTGGTTTCAGACCTCTCTGGTTCTGGCTTTAACCCGACCCGTTTGGAAGGCAAACAGACCCTTTGAGATCAGAACCGGTGCTGGACCGGCTTTTCTCTGAAAGCTCTTCCTGATGACATCACGTCCTGTCTCCTCAGAGGGCCCCGCGGCCGACCCGGCAGCTCAGAGGTCGGCGTCTTCGTCCCTCAGCTGGTGGTCCAAGTCCCGGGTCTCGTCTTCCATGTCGGTCCCCTGCGGGGACGCGGCGTTCTCGGAGCCGACGGCCCACCTGCAGCAGGAGAAGCAGATGCTGATGGAGGAGGTCAAGGGTCAGAAGGTGAGGCGGTAAGGCCGGACCCGCCGCTCCTCCAGAACCAGAACCGACGCAGTGTGTCCCGCAGGAGCTGGTCTGGATCCTCCACAAGGCGCTGGAGGCGGCGCAGCTGGAGAAGCGCATCTGCAGCGAGTTCCTGGCGGCGCAGGACGAGCGGCGGCGCCTGGAGCTGCTGCGGCACGGCGAGCGGCTGGCGGCGGACCTGAGGGCCCGGCTGGATGGCGCCAAGATGGAGGCCGAGGCGCTGAGGCGTCGCCTGGACGACAGAGACGCTCAGCTGGCTGAGCTGCAGGAAGAGGTCAGGCTGCTGGAGGAGAAGAACGCCGCCAAGCAGCAGGTGAGGATGGGTGGCCTCTAGATGACCTCTAGGTGGCCTCTAGATGACCTCTAGATGACCTCCAGATGACCTCTAGGTGGCCTCTAGATGGCCTCTGGATGACCTCCAGATGACCTCTAGGTGGCCTCTAGATGACCTCTAGATGACCTCCAGATGACCTCTAGGTGGCCTCTAGATGGCCTCTGGATGACCTCCAGATGACCTCTAGGTGGCCTCTAGATGACCTCTAGATGACCTCCAGATGACCTCTAGGTGGCCTCTAGATGACCTCCAGATGACCTCTAGGTGGCCTCTAGATGACCGCTAGATGACCTGTAGATGGCCCATAGATGACCTCTAGGTGGCCTCTAGATGACCTCTAGATGACCTCTAGGTGGCCTCGATGACCTCTGGGTGGCCTCTAGATGACCTCCAAATGACCTCTAGGTGGCCTCTAGATGACCTCTAGATGACCTCTAAATGACCTCTAGATGACCTCTAGATGGCCTCTTGATGACCTCCAAATGACCTCTAGATGGCCTCTAGGTGGCCTTTAGATGACCTCTAGGTGGCCTCTAGATGGCCTCTGGATGACCTCCAGATGACCTCTAGGTGGCCTCTAGATGACCTCTAGATGACCTCCAGATGACCTCTAGGTGGCCTCTAGATGACCTCTAGATGACCTCCAGATGACCTCTAGGTGGCCTCTAGATGACCGCTAGATGACCTAGATGGCCCATAGATGACCTCTAGGTGGCCTCTAGATGACCTCTAGATGACCTCTAGGTGGCCTCTCGATGACCTCTGGGTGGCCTCTAGATGACCTCCAAATGACCTCTAGGTGGCCTCTAGATGACCTCTAGATGACCTCTAAATGACCTCTAGATGACCTCTAGATGGCCTCTTGATGACCTCCAAATGACCTCTAGATGGCCTCTAGGTGGCCTTTAGATGACCTCTAGATGGCCTCTTGATGACCTCTAAATGACCTCTAGATGGCCTCTTGATGACCTCTAGATGACCTCTAGGTGGCCTTTAGATGACCTCTAGATGACCTCCAAATGACCTCTAGATGGCCTCTTGATGACCTCTAGATGACCTCTAAATGACCTCTAGATGACCTCTAAATGACCTCTAGATAAACTCTAGACGGCCTCTCGATGACCTCTGGGTGGCCTCTAATGACCTCCAAATGACCTCTAGGTGGCCTCTAGATGACCTCTAGATGGCCTCTTGATGACCTCCAAATGACCTCTAGATGGCCTCTAGATGACCTCTAGATGGCCTCTTGATGACCTCCAAATGACCTCTAGATGGCCTCTAGATGACCTCTGGGTGGCCTCTAGATGACCTCCAAATGACCTCTAGATGGCCTCTAGATGACCTCTAGATGGCCTCTTGATGACCTCCAAATGACCTCTAGATGGCCTCTAGGTGGCCTTTAGATGACCTCTAGGTGGCCTCTAGATGACCTCTAAATGACCTCTAGATGGCCTCTTGATGACCTCTAGGTGGCCTCTCGATGACCTCTAGGTGGCCTTTAGATGACCTCTAGATGACCTCCAGATGACCTCTAGGTGGCCTCTAGATTACCTCTAGATGACCTCCAAATGACCTCTAGATGGCCTCTTGATGACCTCTAGATGACCTCTAAATGACCTCTAGATGACCTCTAAATGACCTCTAGATAAACTCTAGACGGCCTCTCGATGACCTCTAGGTGGCCTTTAGATGACCTCTAGGTGGCCTCTAGATGACCTCTAGATGACCTCTAGGTGGCCTCTAGATGACCTCTAGATGACCTCCAGATGACCTCTAGGTGGCCTCTAGATGGCCTCTGGATGACCTCCAGATGACCTCTAGGTGGCCTCTAGATGACCTCTAGATGACCTCCAGATGACCTCTAGGTGGCCTCTAGATGGCCTCTGGATGACCTCCAGATGACCTCTAGGTGGCCTCTAGATGACCTCTAGATGACCTCCAGATGACCTCTAGGTGGCCTCTAGATGACCTCCAGATGACCTCTAGGTGGCCTCTAGATGACCGCTAGATGACCTCTAGATGGCCCATAGATGACCTCTAGGTGGCCTCTAGATGACCTCTAGATGACCTCTAGGTGGCCTCTCGATGACCTCTGGGTGGCCTCTAGATGACCTCCAAATGACCTCTAGGTGGCCTCTAGATGACCTCTAGATGACCTCTAAATGACCTCTAGATGACCTCTAGATGGCCTCTTGATGACCTCCAAATGACCTCTAGATGGCCTCTAGGTGGCCTTTAGATGACCTCTAGGTGGCCTCTAGATGGCCTCTGGATGACCTCCAGATGACCTCTAGGTGGCCTCTAGATGGCCTCTAGATGACCTCCAGATGACCTCTAGGTGGCCTCTAGATGACCTCTAGATGACCTCCAGATGACCTCTAGGTGGCCTCTAGATGACCGCTAGATGACCTCTAGATGGCCCATAGATGACCTCTAGGTGGCCTCTAGATGACCTCTAGATGACCTCTAGGTGGCCTCTTGATGACCTCTGGGTGGCCTCTAGATGACCTCCAAATGACCTCTAGGTGGCCTCTAGATGACCTCTAAATGACCTCTAGATGACCTCTAGATGGCCTCTAGATGACCTCTAAATGACCTCTAGATGACCTCTAGATGACCTCTAAATGACCTCTAGATGGCCTCTTGATGACCTCTAAATGACCTCTAGATGGCCTCTTGATGACCTCTAGATGACCTCTAGGTGGCCTCTCGATGACCTCTAGGTGGCCTTTAGATGACCTCTAGATGACCTCCAAATGACCTCTAGATGGCCTCTTGATGACCTCTAGATGACCTCTAAATGACCTCTAGATGACCTCTAAATGACCTCTAGATAAACTCTAGACGGCCTCTCGATGACCTCTGGGTGGCCTCTAGATGACCTCCAAATGACCTCTAGGTGGCCTCTAGATGACCTCTAGATGGCCTCTTGATGACCTCCAAATGACCTCTAGATGGCCTCTAGATGACCTCTAGATGGCCTCTTGATGACCTCCAAATGACCTCTAGATGGCCTCTAGATGACCTCTGGGTGGCCTCTAGATGACCTCCAAATGACCTCTAGATGGCCTCTAGATGACCTCTAGATGGCCTCTAGGTGGCCTTTAGATGACCTCTAGGTGGCCTCTAGATGACCTCTAAATGACCTCTAGATGGCCTCTTGATGACCTCTAGGTGGCCTCTCGATGACCTCTAGGTGGCCTTTAGATGACCTCTAGATGACCTCCAGATGACCTCTAGGTGGCCTCTAGATTACCTCTAGATGACCTCCAAATGACCTCTAGATGGCCTCTTGATGACCTCTAGATGACCTCTAAATGACCTCTAGATGACCTCTAAATGACCTCTAGATAAACTCTAGACGGCCTCTCGATGCCCTCTAGGTGGCCTCTAGATGACCTCTAGGTGGCCTCTAGATGACCTCTAGATGACCTCTAGGTGGCCTCTAGATGACCTCTAGATGACCTCTAGGTGGCCTCTAGATGACCTGAGGTTCTGGTCATCTGATTCCGTTTCCAGCTGCACTGATTGTACTTCTGTTTCCTGACAGGTCATCATGAAGCTGACTGATCAGGTGACCTCCTGCCTGTCGGATCCTCGGCACCAGGACTCCTCTGGGTCCGTCCAGAACCCTCAGGACCACAGGCAGCAGATGGAGAATCTCAAGGTGGAGTTCAGCTGCCTCACTTGATCCGGTTCAGGTTCTGATCCGTGTGTAGAGGCACGTAGGATGAAGTCTGGTTGGTTCTGTTCCGGTTCTGTTCTTCAGGACGACTTGGTGGCGTATCAAACCCAGAACCGGTTCCTGAACTCGGAGATCTACCAGCTGACCAAACTGTGGAGGAAAAGCTCCGAGCAGGAGAGGAGCCTGATGGCGAAGGTGGGAACACTGGGAACTTGGGAACGATAGGAATGCTGGGAAGACTGGTGCGTGTCTGGTTCCTTACTGGACCCGGCCCGTAAGGTTCTGGTTCTGCTTGACATGTTCCTGCTCTCTGATTGGCTGCAGTGTGCGTACCTGGAGGCCGCCAACTGCCAGATGGAGAGCCGTTACCTGGGCGTCCTGCAGAGGCTGCAGGAGGCCAAAGCTCTGGCGCCGGAGCAGCAGGAGGCCGTGCAGCGGCTGATCCAAGACGCCCTGGGAGGGAGAGCCGAAGGGCGTCGTGAAGCTGAGCGCGGACAGGTAGGAACACCTGGACACCAGCTTCCTGCTCTCGTTCCCTGTCAGGAAGCGGGTAAATGCGCCCTGTGCTCCGTCTGCAGGGATCACGACGACTACGGCTTTAAGATCGTCCCCGACTACGAGGTGGAGGACATGAAGCTGCTGGCCAAGATCCAGGCGCTGGAGATCCGCAGCTGCAGCCTGCTGCAGCAGGTCAGACTGCTGCCCTGAGCGCCGACTGACAGGCTGCTGCCTGATTGCCTCTAGTTCACCTGTGGCAGCAACAGGAAGGGGCGGGACGGACCTCTGTCAGTCTCATGCCTTATATGCAAATGGGGCCGTTGCACTCCAGAAGTGAAGGGGGCGCTATTTCCTATATTATCATCCACTTTTGATTTTGCTTTGCTTTTCACTCTCAGCTTGTATTTGATCTTAGTGTAAAGTAATGATATTAGTTGTGTTATGTCCCCTCGCCACTAGAGGCAGTATCAGGCCCAAAAGATGCAGATTTAGAAGAACAGAGGAAGCTACAGAATCTGTTAAACAAAAGATCACATACAAGCTGAGAGTGAAAATCCTTCCTAAAGGTGAAAATATATCACAGATAAAGGAAAATCAAAATAGCGCCCCCTTCACTTCCGGAATGCAACGGCCCCATTTCCATAAAAGGCATGAGACTGACAGCGGTCCGTCCCGCCCCTTCCTGTTGCTGCAGCAGGTCCTTCTCTATTGCCTGCAGACACAATTCAGGGTTTACTGCACCACTGTTCATGACATCATAAAATATTAGAAGCTTTGCTGAAACCTTATTGGATGACAGAGCAAACATGAAATGTTATTGTATAAGTGTTTCCTGCTGCTCTAACCCATTGGGCCGGTTCTGGTTCTGGTTGTGTCTGGTCCTGCAGGACAGCATGGAGCGCCCCTGCTGGCCCGCTGGGCACAGTACCTGGCCGGCCGCTCTGAGGACGACCTGTGTCCGTCTCCAGAGCTGAAGGTTCTGCTGCGCGCCGGCGTCCCTCAGCAGTACCGGCAGAGAATGTGGCGCTGGCTGGTCCGGACCAGAACCAGAACCGTCTGGGAGCGCCACCCCCAGCGGTACCAGCAGGTAGGTCGACGCTCCGGGCCGACGCTCCGGGCCGACGCTCCGGGCCGACGCTCCGGGCCGACGCTCCGGGCCGACGCGGTGCGGCCGAGCTGCGACTGACCCTCACTGCGCTTGCAGCTGTGCGAAAAGAGCCGGACGTCGCCGCACCCAGCCTGCAGGCAGATCCAGCTGGACCTGCACAGAACCCTGACCACCAATCAGAACTTCTCCTCGCCCTCAAGCCCCGCCCTCCAGCAGCTGCGCCACATCTTGCTGGCGTTCTCCTGGCACAACCCAGCAGTCGGCTACTGCCAGGGGCTTAACAGGTAGGAGGGTTGACACTGGTCAGGTGACCCCGTGGTGACCCCGTGGTGACCTTGCGGTGTCCCTCAGGCTGGCGGCCGTCGCCCTGCTGGTCCTGCAGAGCGAGGAAGACGCCTTCTGGTGCCTGGTGGCGCTGGTGGACGGCATCATGCCTCAGGACTACTACACTAAGAACCTGCTGGCCTCTCAGGTGAGTCTCAGCCGGGCGCCGTCATCCCCGGTGACGGGTCGCCCGCTGATGATGCGTTCCCGTTCAGGCCGACCAGCGGGTCCTGAAGGACTTCATGGCAGAGAAACTCCCCCGGCTGGCGGCTCACCTGGAGGGTCACGGGGTTGACGTGTCGCTGGTCACCTTCAACTGGTTCCTGGTCGTCTTCGTGGAGAGTCTGCCCAGCGGCATCCTGCTGCCGCTGTGGGACGCCTTCCTGTACGAGGGCTCCAAGGTACCCTGAACGCACCACAACACCAAACTGGCTCTGAAAGGGCCACAACTCAGAGGACTGACCCTGAACTGGTGACGTGGAAAATATAGTGATAAAATAATTCAGATTTTCACCCAGCGGTTTTAACTACAAAGTATTTATTTTTCATTTAGCTTAGACAATTTTGATAATTTTTTTGATCAAAATTGCTGAATTTTTGCATATTTTCATTAAAATGCTCAGAAGTGCAGCAGGTGAGGCAGCAGGAAGCCGAGCCTCACCTGGACTGATCAGCGTCTCACTAACTGCACTGGCTGCCAGTCGATAGCAGCTCCTCCTGTCTGAACGGCGCCAATTAAATGGCTAAAAAACATTTAATGTATCAACTGATTTTACATCATTTAGCTCATGTATATAATGTACACTGATCTTGTCACCAACTGTGTGTGCAACGTGTTTCGTGCTCAGCAGCGATCAGAAACCGGAGAACTGGAGGTGAGGCAGGCAGTTCTCTGGCCTCATGGCAGGGGGCGCTCATGATCCCAGACATTGACACTCCACACTGCAGAGGAAGAGACAGCAACAGCAAGCTAGCCATGGAGCTAGCCATGAAGCTAGAAGCTTCATGGCTAGAAAAAAACATACTTCTTTAGAACAAATCTACAAAATATAAAATTGCATCTTCCTGTGACTTCCTGGCAGCAGCCAGTCACTGCATGTTGGCATTTTGGATCATTTCGCTCGGCTAGTTTCGCTACATTTAGTGCAAGACCTTCGATCTCCCCAAATCCAAACCACTGTCTGTTTTTTTCAGAAACTGTACAGAGCAGATTAACAAAGATAAATAAATAGAAACATAAATACACCATGCTGTGGAGCTAGCCATGGAGCTAGTCATGGAGCTAGCCATGGAGCTAGCCATGGAGCTAGTCATGGACCTAGCCATGAAGCTAGCCATGGAGCTAGTCATGGAGCTAGCCATGGATCTAGCCATGGAGCTAGCCAGGGACCTTGCCATGAAGCTAGCCATGGAGCTAGCCAAGGAGCTAGTCATGGAGCTAGCCATGGACCTAGCCATGAAGCTAGCCATGGAGCTAGCCATCGAGCTAGTCATGGAGCTTGCCATGGAGCTAGCCATGAAGCTAGCCATGGAGCTAGCCATGGAGCTAGCCATGGAGTTAGCCATGGAGCTAGTCATGGAGCTAGTCATGGAGTTAGCCATGGAGCTAGTCATGGAGCTAGTCATGGAGCTAGCCATGGAGTTAGCCATGGAGCTAGTCATGGAGCTAGCCATGGAGCTAGCCATGGAGCTAGTCATGGAGTTAGTCATGGAGCTAGTCATGGAGTTAGCCATGGAGCTAGCCATGGAGCTAGTCATGGAGCTAGTCATGGAGCTAGCCATGAAGCTAGTCATGGAGCTAGTCATGGAGCTAGCCATGGACCTAGCCATGAAGCTAGCCATGGAGCTAGTCATGGAGCTAGCCAGGGACCTTGCCATGAAGCTAGCCATGGAGCTAGCCAAGGAGCTAGTCATGGAGTTAGCCATGGAGCTAGTCATGGAGCTGGTCATGGAGCTAGTCATGGAGCTAGCCATGGAGTTAGCCATGGAGCTAGTCATGGAGCTAGTCATGGAGTTGGCCATGGAGCTGGTCATGGAGCTAGTCATGGAGCTAGCCATGGAGTTAGCCATGGAGCTAGTCATGGAGCTAGTCATGGAGCTAGCCATGGAGCTAGTCATGGAGTTAGCCATGGAGCTAGTCATGGAGCTAGTCATGGAGCTAGCCATGGAGTTAGCCATGGAGCTAGCCATGGAGCTAGTCATGGAGCTAGCCATGGAGCTAGTCATGGAGTTAGTCATGGAGCTAGTCATGGAGTTAGCCAAGGAGCTAGTCATGGAGCTAGTCATGGAGCTAGCCATGAAGCTAGCCATGGAGCTAGCCATGAAGCTAGTCATGGAGCTAGTCATGGAGCTAGCCATGGAGTTAGCCATGGAGCTAGTCATGGAGCTAGCCATGAAGCTAGCCATAGAGCAAGCCATGGAGCTAGCCATGAAGCTAGTCATGGAGCTAGTCATGGAGCTAGCCATGGAGCTAGTCATGGAGTTAGCCATGGAGCTAGTCATGGAGCTAGTCATGGAGCTAGCCATGGAGTTAGCCATGGAGCTAGTCATGGAGCTAGCCATGAAGCTAGCCATACAGCAAGCCATGGAGCTAGCCATGAAGCTAGTCATGGAGCTAGTCATGGAGCTAGCCATGGAGCTAGTCATGGAGCTAGCCATGGAGCTAGTCATGGAGTTAGTCATGGAGCTAGTCATGGAGTTAACCAAGGAGCTAGTCATGGAGCTAGTCATGGAGCTAGCCATGAAGCTAGCCATGGAGCTAGCCATGGAGCTAGCCATGAAGCTAGTCATGGAGCTAGTCATGGAGCTAGCCATGGAGTTAGCCATGGAGCTAGTCATGGAGCTAGTCATGGAGTTAGCCATGGAGCTAGCCATGGAGCTAGTCATGGAGCTAGTCATGGAGCTAGCCATGGAGCTAGTCATGGAGCTAGCCATGGAGCTAGCCATGGAGCTAGTCATGGAGCTAGCCATGGAGCTAGTCATGGAGTTAGTCATGGAGCTAGTCATGGAGTTAGCCAAGGAGCTAGTCATGGAGCTAGTCATGGAGCTAGTCATGGAGTTAGCCATGAAGCTAGTCATGGAGCTAGTCATGGAGCTAGCCATGGAGCTAGTCATGGAGCTAGTCATGGAGCTAGTCATGGAGCTAGCCATGGAGCTAGTCATGGAGTTAGTCATGGAGCTAGTCATGGAGCTAGCCATGGAGCTAGTCATGGAGCTAGTCATGGAGCTAGCCATGGAGCTAGTCATGGAGCTAGTCATGGAGTTAGCCATGGAGCTAGTCATGGAGCTAGTCATGGAGCTAGTCATGGAGCTAGCCATGGAGCTAGTCATGGAGCTACATGACTAGTCATGGAGTTAGCCATGGAGCTAGTCATGGAGCTAGTCTTGGAGCTAGCCATGGAGCTAGTCATGGAGCTAGCCATGGAGCTAGCCATGGAGCTAGTCATGGAGCTAGTCATGGAGCTAGCCATGGAGCTAGTCATGGAGTTAGTCATGGAGCTAGTCATGGTGCTAGCCATGGAGCTAGTCATGGAGCTAGTCATGGAGCTAGCCATGGAGCTAGCCATGGAGCTAGTCATGGAGTTAGCCATGGAGCTGGCCATGGAGCTAGTCATGGAGCTAGTCATGTTGCTAGTCATGGAGCTAGCCATGGAGCTAGCCATGTAGCTAGTCATGGAGCTAGCCATGGAGCTAGTCATGGAGCTAGCCATGGAGCTAGTCATGGAGCTAGTCATGGAGCTAGCCATGGAGCTAGTCATGGAGCTAGTCATGTTGCTAGTCATGGAGCTAGCCATGGAGCTAGCCATGTAGCTAGCCATGGAGCTAGTCATGGAGTTAGCCATGGAGCTGGCCATGGAGCTAGTCATGGAGCTAGTCATGTTGCTAGTCATGGAGCTAGCCATGGAGCTAGTCATGGAGCTAGTCATGGAGCTAGTCATGGAGCTAGCCATGGAGCTAGCCATGGAGCTAGTCATGGAGCTAGCCATGGAGCTAGTCATGGAGCTAGCCATGGAGCTAGCCATGGAGCTAGTCATGGAGCTAGCCATGGAGCTAGTCATGGAGCTAGCCATGGAGCTAGTCATGGAGCTAGTCATGGAGCTAGCCATGGAGCTAGTCATGGAGCTAGTCATGTTGCTAGTCATGGAGCTAGCCATGGAGCTAGCCATGGAGCTAGCCATGGAGCTTGTCATGGAGTTAGCCATGGAGCTGGCCATGGAGCTAGTCATGGAGCTAGTCATGTTGCTAGTCATGGAGCTAGCCATGGAGCTAGCCATGTAGCTAGTCATGGAGCTAGCCATGGAGCTAGTCATGGAGCTAGCCATGGAGCTAGTCATGGAGCTAGTCATGGAGCTAGCCATGGAGCTAGTCATGGAGCTAGTCATGTTGCTAGTCATGGAGCTAGCCATGGAGCTAGCCATGTAGCTAGTCATGGAGCTAGCCATGGAGCTAGTCATGGAGCTAGCCATGGAGCTAGTCGTGGAGCTAGTCATGGAGCTAGTCATGGAGCTAGTCATGGAGCTAGCTATACAGTGAAGGGCAGCAATATATTTAGTTTTCTCCTCTTGTCACATCAATCACTCATTAATAATTGCAAAACAGACATTAAGCCTATAACCAAACTGCTGCAACAGACTGAATGTTCTGCTCTGTGTTTTTGTTTGTTTTGTTGTTGTCAGTTGTTATGCCAACGAGTCTGCGTTGTAGCTGCGTTGACAGAGTGAGAAAGGAAAGGTTTTGAGTTGGACTTTAACGGTTTTCTCTTTGCTGTGGAGCATGAATTGAAGAATATCTAGTTATTCTGCTGCCGCAGCGCGGCTGTGGATGACATGTAGATGAATTGTCTATTTGCCTTCATCGTCTGCATGCATGAAATTTCCTTATGTAAACAACAACATGCAGGAGGTCTATGTTTGTAAACCTGATTATGACTGTCAGTACCTGACCAGCTATGAACCTCGCCGCACATCACTGTCCTGAACGCACCACAAGAGAAACTACCCCTGCTGCCCCTCTAACTAGTTGCCCCGCCTCCGGCTGCAGGTGATCTTCAGGTACGCTCTGGCCCTGTTCAAGTACAAAGAAGACGACCTGCTGAAGATCCACGACAGCGTGGAGATCTACCAGTACCTGCGCTTCTTCACCAAGACCGTCACCGACAGCAGGTGCACCTTAAATCTAGTTGTGGGAACGCTCTGTATCTGTGGGAACGCTCTGTATCTGTGGGAACGCTCTGTCTGTGGGAACGCTCTGTATCTGTGGGAACGCTCTGTCTGTGGGAACGCTCTGTATCTGTGGGAACGCTCTGTATCTGTGGGAACGCTCTGTCTGTGGGAACGCTCTGTATCTGTGGGAACGCTCTGTATCTGTGGGAACGCTCTGTGTGTGGGAACGCTCTGTCTGGGGGAACGCTCTGTATCTGTGGGAACGCTCTGTCTGTGGGAACGCTCTGTATCTGTGGGAACGCTCTGTATCTGTGGGAACGCTCTGTATCTGTGGGAACGCTCTGTGTGTGGGAACGCTCTGTCTGGGGAACGCTCTGTGTCTGAGGGAAAGCTGTGTGTGTGGCAACGCTCTGTATGTGGGAACGCTTTGTATCTGTGGGAACGCTCTGTATCTGTGGGAACCCTGTGTGTGTGGGAACGCTCTGTATCTGTGGGAACGGTCTGTGTGTGGGAACGCTTTGTATCTGTGGGAACGCTCTGTATCTGTGGGAACCCTGTGTCTGTGGGAACACTCTGTATCTGTGGGAACCCTGTGTGTGTGGGAACGCTCTGTGTCTGTGGGAACGGTCTGTGTGTGGGAACGCTGACTGTGGGAACACTCTGGGTTGCAGCAAACGCTCAGTGTGTTTCAGTCAATCACTTCTTGTGCTGTTCAATTAACTGTAACTGTAACTTCTTGATTTATTGTTTTTCCAGCAGAAACTGGGTGAGAAAGTTTTCAGTTTGGTGTTTAAACTTTATTTTAAAGGGTTGTTTTGTTTCCAGAGATACTTCATTTCATTTGTTTAAATGTCTTCCCATTCCAGTGTTAAATGTTCATTAGAATTTAAAGTTTACTATTCATTATTAAATCAAACAACAATATTGTTGTTTATTGTGATCATTTATCATTCAGCTCCATTGGCTGAAAATGGCGTCTCTCCTCAACAGGAAGTTGGCGGCCATTGCTTTCTGCGACATGAACCCGTTCCCACGGCGCCTGCTGAGGAACCGGCGCGCGCTGCATCTGGAGCGCCTGCAGGGGGAGCTGCAGGCGCTGGAGGAGCAGCAGAAGGAGTTTGTGACAGAGAGCGCCGAGCGGAAAGACAAGGAGCTGGATCTGGCCAGTGAAGACGACGACGAGCTTTAATGAGAGGCAAAGCTCCAAATAAATGTTCTTCATTAAACCAGAACATTTCTGGATTTTATCAGGTCCACCACAACAGAAGCTAACATCACTTCAGGAATTATCTAAGAGTTTCTAAGATTTTCTCTCAGGAATTAAAGGCATCTCAGTTCTTCAGACACTTCAGGAAAACGCTAATTTGATTTCCTTTGCAGCTTCATTAGTTAGCTAAGGTGAAGAAATGTTACAGTAGAGGCGGAGCTCTGCCAGCAGCAGGCTCTGCATTCTCTCATCAGTTCAATATTTCATTCCTGACCTTCTCGCTTCCATCACAAATTTATGCAAACCTTAAATAACCGAGTAAAGCATCTTAAATAATGTCTGTTATTGGGGCCTGCCCATAGCAATGTCAGTCACTGCCTCCATGCATTGCATGGCAGGCACCTATTGTTCTACACCTAATAGAATATCTCTTTATTATTGGGGCCTGCCCATAGCAATGCATAAGGAGAGCAGTGACTGACTTGCGAAGCAAGTCAGTCACTGCCTCCATGCATTGCATGGCAGGCACCTATTAATCTACACCCAATAGAACGCTTCTTTATTATTGGGGCCTGCCCATAGCAATGCATAAGGAGAGCAGTTACTGACTTGCGAAGCAAGTCAGTAACTGCCTCCATGCATTGCATGGCAGGCACCTATTGTTCTTCACCTAATAGAATGCCTCTTTATTGGGGCCCTGCCCATAGCAATGCATAAGGAGAGCAGTGACTGACTTGCGAAGCAAGTCAGTAACTGCCTCCATGCATTGCATGGCAGGCACCTATTAATCTACACCTAATAATGCCTCTTTATTGGGGCCTGCCCATAGCAATGCATAAGGAGAGCAGTTACTGACTTGCGAAGCAAGTCAGTAACTGCCTCCATGCATTGCATGGCAGGCACCTATTGTTCTTCACCTAATAGAATGTCTCTTTATTATTGGGGCCTGCCCATAGCAATGCATAAGGAGAGCAGTGACTGACTTGCGAAGCAAGTCAGTCACTGCCTCCATGCATTGCATGGCAGGCACCTATTAATCTTCACCCAATAGAATGTCTCTTTATATATTTGGGGCCCTGCCCATAGCAATGCATAAGGAGAGCAGTTACTGACTTGCGAAGCAAGTCAGTAACTGCCTCCATGCATTGCATGGCAGGCACCTATTGTTCTTCACCTAATAGAATGCCTCTTTATTGGGGCCTGCCCATAGCAATGCATAAGGAGAGCAGTGACTGACTTGCGAAGCAAGTCAGTCACTGCCTCCATGCATTGCATGGCAGGCACCTATTGTTCTTCACCTAATAGAACGCCTCTTATTATTATTATTATTATTATAGAACTTTATTTTTCTTCCGTAGACCGGAATGCGGGCTCGCACCGCTGCGAGCCCACCACAAAAGTGGTATCAAAACGTGCGGCTCGTTCCCGGCATTGGAGCTATTACTTTTGGTGGGATTCGGAGTTACGATAAAAAAGTAAAAAGCGAAAAAAAAACCATCAAAAAATTCTTGTCAGTTAGAAACTGCCCAAACTAGAGTGTAACTGACGTTTCGTTAGAGTGTGGAAGCAGTGCGATTCTGACCCCAAATAAATTTTGAAATCGCCATCACGCCCACAAAATATCGCCCTATCGGTATCAAACTCGGTCATGACATAGATACGCATGCCTGCTCCGGTAAAATGTTTTCAAATTTTTCTAGGGCTTATGGTTTTCTGTCTAGGCTTCAGAGCAAAGTGATGCGACAGGATTTCGACTCGCTCAGCCAGGATCACTTCCATGTAATTTCTGAAAAATGTCAGACCTCAGCGCACACCATTTTTATCTTGTCGCTGTTATTAATGTGAGTGATGTACAGATATGAATAGCGGGACTATCGGAGACGAAAGATAGCCCTCTTAAGCTTCAAACGGTTTTCCGATACGTATCACGGTTTCCGAATGGGAAGGAGTTGTTTGGACCGCTTTTTTCAGTCAAAACTGACTGGGTGTCTCACAAAGATAGAATTCTTTCTGTCTCACACACATGACTGTTGCAGAGGATTAATTACCATAGCAACGAAGCACAGCAGGGCCGAGCAGCTAATTAGAACTACAAAAACGCATCACTGTAGTTTTTACTGTGGCAGAGCTCTGAGGAAGGAGCTGGCCTGTAGAACTACTTGTGTTTTGGGCATTTTATAACTGATTTTAACCAACCTTTGCTACACATGGGATTAGTGTTAATTAAGTTTAATTAATCTTAATGAAATTAAGCTTAATGAAATTTCAAAAATAAAAGCCTTGACAATTTTTATATCAATTGCTGTTTGGAGCATTTTAGAACTGATTTAACACAATCACTGTTACTCATGTGAATAGATTGGGGCCATTTAAACGAGGCTTACTGAAAATTTCAAAATAAAAGCCTTAATATTCCTTTCTGGCTCATGCCTATTTTAGTGAAAATGGCTGCCTCAAACTGATAGAATTATGTCTCCCCCTGTCTGACTCACAGCATGCAGAGGATCCATTACCATAGCAACGGAGCACAGCAGGGCCAGTGGTTAGGACTACAAATACGCATCACTGTAGTTTTTATTATGGCAGAGCTCTGAGTAAGTTGTTGGCCTTTAGAACTACTTGTGTTTTGGGCATTTTATAACTGATTTTATCCAACCATTGTTACACACAGGATTAGTGTGTTAATTTTAAATTAAGTTTGAATTAAAATTTCAAAATAAAAGCCCTGACATTCGTTTATATTATGGAATTGCTCTCTTGGGGATTATGTGACTTTTTTATATACACCACTGTTACACTTTAGATTATTTTGGAAAGTTAAAATGAAGCTTACTGAAAATTTCCAAATAAAAGCCTTAAGACTCTTTCTGGCTCATGCCTATTTTAGGCAAAATGGCTGCCACAAACTGATAGAATTATGTCTCCCCCTGTCTGACTCACAGCTGGCAGAGGATCCTTACCATAGCAATGGAACACAGCAGGGCCAGTGGTTAGGACTACAAAAACGCATCACTGTAGTTCTAACATGGCAGAACTCAGAGGAAAAAGCTGGACTTAGAACTGCTTGTGTTTTGGGCCTTTTATAACTCTTTTTAACCAACCATTGTTACACATGGAATTAGTGTGAAAATTTTAAATTAAGCTTTAAAAAATTTTCAAAATAAAAGCCTGACAATTTTCCCATCACTTAAGTGCTCTTTTGACCATTTTATGTCTGATTTAACCAAATCACTGTTATACATGATTACATTGACCATTTAAAATTAAACATTCTGAACATTTCAAAATAAAAGCCTTAAGATTCGGCCGTGGCTAATGCAGCGCCGCAGGCGCTGCAATGATATTAGCTTGCATTATCTTTTCCTCTCAAGTTAGGGCACTGTCTTGCGCAGCAAGACAGTGCATTAGCATTAGCACAAACATTAGCATTTCTCTGTTTCCCATCAGTGCACTGCCATAGGCAGTGCAATAAGATTATCCTGCATGATCTTTTCCACTCAGGTTAGGGCTCTGCCTTGCGCAGCAAGGCAGAGCATTAGCATTAGCCTTTTACCTTGCATGAGGTATTAGCTATTTCCCTTACTTATTACCCATATTTAGTGTACTGAATGCAGTAAGTCATGCTTGTGACTCTCCACATTGTATTGATGACATTGCAGCTTTCTTTAGCATGGATGCTAATGTTTAGCATCAGAAAGCTGGGTCAAAATCGACGGGCACACTTTGGCAGGCCCCGGTTAAATTTCTTCAGGAATTTTCTAGTTATTATTATAGAACTTTATTTTTCTTCCGTAGACCGGAATGCGGCTCGCACCGCTGCGAGCCCACCCACAAAAGTGGTATCAAAACGTGCGGCTCGTTCCCGCATTGAGCTATTACTTTTGGTGGGATTCGGAGTTACGATGAAAAGTAAAAAGCGAAAAACCATCAAAAAATTTTTGTCAGTTAGAAACTGCCCAAACTAGAGTGTAACTGACGTTTCGTTAGAGTGTGGGAAGCAGTGCGATTCTGACCCCAAATAAATTTTGAAATCGCCGCCACGCCCACAAATATCGTGCAATCGGTATGAAACTCGGACATGACATCGATACGTATGTCTGCTCCGGTAAAATGTTTTCAAAATTTTTCTAGGTCTTACGGTTTTCTGTCAAGGTGCTTTAGAGCAAAATCAAGTTCCAGCCTAACTGACGCTCTCCACCATATATTTCATATTTTTATGGAAAATTTCAGACCTCAACACACACCATTTTTATATCATCGCTGCAATTACTATGAATGAGCTACAGATTTGATTTGCAGGACTATCGGAGACAAAAAATAGCTCTCTCATATGCTTCAAACGGTTTTCCGATACGTATCACGGTTCCCGAACGGCAAGGAGTTGTTCGGGCTGCTTTTTCCATTATAACTGACTGAGCTGTCTCACAAAGATAGAATCTGTCTCTGCCTCACACACATGACAGTTGACCTCTTTAGAACTACAATTCCTGAAGGTCAGAACTACAACATGGCGGAACACTCAGTGCCTACAAAAGAGGTCAGAGCTGATTGTCAGAACTACAACATGGCGGAACTGTCAGTTACTACTGAGGAGGAATGAGCTGGCCTTTAGAATTACTTTGTTTGAGCATTTTATAACTGATTTTAAGCAACCATTGTTACACACAGGATTAGTGTGGCAATTTCAAATTAAGCTTAATGAAAATTTCAAATAAAAGCCCTGAGATTCTTTTATATCACGTAATTGCTCTCTTGGGCATTATGTGACTTTTTTAACAAAACCACTGTTAAACTTTGGATTATTTTGGACATTTAAAATGAAGCTTAATGAAAATTTCAAAATAAAACCTTGAATATTTCTCTCAGGCCTGTCAGAAAAACTAACTTCTTCAAGCATTTAGAATTAAGTCTCTCCTTGTGTGTCACACTGACATGACAGTTGACCTCCTCTTTAGAACTACAATTCCTGAACGTTAGAACTACAACATGGCAGAACACTCAGTGCCTACAGAAGAGGTCATAGGTGAATATAAAAACTACAACATGGCAGAACTGTCAGTTACTACTGAGGAGGAATGAGCTGGCCATGACAAGTACTTGGTTTTTGGGAATTTTAGAACTGATTTCAAAACTCC